ACCGCAAACAACAACAAGTGGCTCATAACTTCGCCGGAACAGTCATTGAGCACGTATCTTCACCGACTCCCTTGAAGCCTCCCGGGAATGCGGCCGGGGCAAGTGCAGAAATCCGGTGGTGAAGCAAATCAAGAGCATCGTTTTTGAATCTCGTCCGCGAGTAAACATCGTGCTATCGTGGGTCCCCGGACACAAAGGCGCCCAGGGAGACGAGAGGGCGAACAAGACCGCGAGGGCGCAGCTACATGCAGGCTTCATGCCCTCACCTGGCCACGGTCCCCACTTCATGGGACGAGACGCGGGCCTCGCACCTGACCTTGAAGAGGTAAAAACGAGTAGAAGGCTGCCAGGAAATTCAGGCTCGCCGCCCTACTCCCTCCCGATGATGACCCTGTCCCGCCTGGTTACAGTAGGTGGGAACGGGTCTGCATACGCAGTCTTCAAACAAAGACAGCAATTACCCTCGGGGTTAGCTTCCTGGCTACGAGGGATGACTATGATAACGTTAGAGAACCGACCAAATTAAAATCCATGGAGGCTACAGATTTTGATTTTACCACGAGTTTTAAATACGTTTTTCGCGATATTAATAATAAAAAACAAAATACTGAACGCTCTCCTTTCACTCTTGAGCGAGGCCGAGGAGAGTGCTGTGTGGAAAGAGCTCTTACATTTGAATTCTGGAATTTCGCTTTTAACAACGTGTTCAGGGATCGGGTCTTAAATAACTTGGATGGAATTGTGAAGGAATACCTTGACACATTTTCAGCGATGTTATTTTGTTCGAAGCTGAAATTACTATGCCATTTCATTCCATAAGTTGCCGCGATTGCAGTTGCACTGTAGCGTCACTGTAACTGATATCCGAAACGCACTAACACCTTCTATGAGGTATGGCCAGGGTTGTAAAAGTTACTTCAAAAATGTACCTAAGATACAGTTACAGTTACTCATACGAAAATGTACCTAGGTGCGTATCTAGCTACTCGCTTAAAAATGTACCTAGGTACAGGTACAGTTTCTTCAAAGGTACTTTTTTATTTTCACGTAAAGTATTTTTCTCAAATTTGTCACATTATTATTGGAATAAATCCTTTGTATACTGGGATGTAAACAAAAACAAGTTTGATAAACGTGCTTTATTGGTGTCAATGGGAGAAATAAGGCAAAACGTTCACCAGAGCATTCGAAGACTTTGTCGTTTTCATTTGAGTGCTCGATTTGACCTCAGAATCAGGACTTCTTTGAAATGTTCATCCTTCATCTTCGATCGCAGTTTGGTAGCAATTGTTCCTCCTATGCTAAAAACGCGCTTCATCGCCGAACTGCTTGGAAGCCCTGTGTTGAATTTTAAGAAGACGCTTTTCAGCAGCGGCATGTGCTTGAAACAGTCCAGACTTCTTGTCGGAGCAAGTTTGGTGTACTGTACAGTCGGCGAGAAACAGCCACCGGAGGAGCCTCCAACTCGGTAGAACTTGGCACATGGCAAAACAGAAGGGCCCGGGGGGCCAATAAGGTCACTGGAGCGAGGCACGTGACGGCGCTGCACAGATGTCCAGATCGGAGTGGAGTCCTCACGTACCTTACTCTCACGCTTCAATTGGCTCACCGAGGACACAGCTTCCACTGTTTACGACGTCCCGCTCAAACTCGCTTGTTGACGTGGCTTGCCCTTCAGCGCCAGCACTGGCATCGAAGTCGTCGGCAGGCCCTGAAGACGTCGGCCGAAACGAAGAGTCGAGTGCACACGCACCTAACCTTCGCAACGCGACGACGCGCGAAAGTCTTCAAGCTTTCACGTCTTTTCTTTCGTTTTTAGGAAGGAAGAGAATATTTTAACGCGAGCGCGTTTAGGAGCTCGTGTCACAGAAAATCCGTCGGATGTCGGTGGCGTCGGTGGCGTGACGGAAAATTCCTGAATGGTCGATAGGGTCGTGACGTCACAGCCACATGACTTCGCGCGGGAATTTCAAACAACCCACAACGCTCATGTGAAGCGTGACGTCACGCGTGGAATGAAGGTGTTTAAAGACATACGAATTAATGGTCGCAGCATGTTTCAAATGATCCCACTTGATAAACTAATTCATTTGCCTTAAAGAAAAATTTGAAGAATTTACGCAGGATTGCACCCACGACCCTTCGGCTGCGAGCCAGACATGATACCGACTAGGCAACGGAGGGCTTGGGAATGGCACTGCGATTGTGCCGTCATTAGAGTGCCTTGATGTCTGTTTGTTTCAGGGTAAAGGCATTATCGCATCGAGTGTTGTTAGCGCGTGCCGAGCAAACACGTAAATAAACCTTGCGGGGTAAAATGGCATCAAAGCACTGGCTAAAGCTCCTCAATCGCGCCGGGATAGCGGTTGTACTGCACTGGCTAAATTTCTCATCTACAGCTGGGAGACTCGTCGCCCCTGTGAGGCAGACCAAGTTCTAGGCTGTATAAACACACACACAACCCAATTACTATTATTAATCGCGCCGGGAGTGTTGTATCATAAAAACTAGGTCGTTGTGTGACTCAAGAGCATGAGAAGCGATTCAGAAGGCCATGCGAACCGAACCCGATAACCCTATCGCCTTCAACTCTTAAAGGCGAAGGTTAATCGTCCACCCTGTTTTGTTTTCTTCACAAACATTTTCAGTTTTGTAAAGTGCAAAATTTGAGCTTGATTTATTGAGTGGAAACACTACGTGATGTTAAATTGCTTTACGACTGTAATTATAATTTATTTTCAGTTATATGTTATATTATATTTTCTACGTTTTTGACAAAGTGAATAGAAAGTACCTGTAAAAAGTAACTTCACTTAGTTACAAGTTACTGGAAAATGTACCTAAGATACAGATACAGATAGTGAAAAATTAAAGTACCTAGGTTTGTACCTCAGGTACAACAAAAGTACCTAGATACCAATTTACAGTTACTTGTACCTAGGTACTTTACAACACTGGGTATGGCCCTCTCAAGGAGCAGTGACGTAGCGAACGTCTAGCGATGAACAAAATTCCAAGTACTATCCGGGGCCGGCTTGCTAGACATAGATAAATTTCTGTGAAAGGAAGGACTGTCAAAGCTATAGCGCACAAGTGTAGTGGCGCGTAAATTCGAATCTTAAAAAGCCCTTGAGAAGAAAAAAAAAAAGTTTTTTAAACAGACCAAATTAAAAAACGCGCTGTAAAAAAAAATAAAATATACGCACAACAACAAAAACAAAAATTAATTAAGGCGAAATTGACGGCGAGAGATATATTTGAAATTCTGCACGCAAAGTCCATGACGTCACGTAATGGTCATTCGCATTTGTCCACCTCAACGTAAAGGCGAAATCGATTCACGTGTCCTCCACGAAATGCCGAGTGAGAAAACAAGTGGAAAGGAGGTGACTACCGACTAAATCGCGTCTCGCGCCGTCAATATTGCTCTAACAACTTTTTTTTTTTTTTTCTTGTGAAGAAGAAGAATTAACTTTTTTTTTTTTAAACGCGTGCTTCAGCCCTACTTTTTTAACTTTTCTTTTTTCAGGGTCCCTTTAAAACCCGACCCGCAGAAATCGATTTTTCCTGGCAGAAGATTCCCTCGTTGCCTTCTTTCCCTTCTCGCCCTTTTGCGTACTCCTTGACCACCTTCACGCAAAGCGTCTGCCCTTTATTTTCTACTGGGCATAATCCTTTTAACCATTCGGATTTCTGCTGGATTAATTACTGAAGCATAAAACAAGCTAAAAAACAAACTGTGATTCCCTCATTTTTATTTGTTTGTGGATTCCTCATTGTGCTATTTTGTGACGAGCTCGAATCTTTCAGGAAACAAAAAGGGTAAAGGGCGCTAAACAGACATGCTGCTGGTTTATTCCTTTTTTTATTACGCGTGAAGCCAACTCTCAGTGACGCGTGTCTCTTGGCAGGACCGCTAGCCCAAATTTTTTAAACCACCTCTTTCTTGCCTTACAGATTATTCCCGACAGAAATTCTGAATAGACCGGTCGTTGCGACAAATCAAAGCTGAATTCAAAGGTGAGCATTTATTTTTGAACCTAAAAATTTCACAGAAAAGGTTCTTGGCATGTTATATTTTCTGGTTTGTTCCCTCAGCGCTATAGTTGGCTGTGCTACAGAAATAATGAAACAAGTTCCCAACTCCATAAAGGCTGAGAATGGCCCTTTAAAGTGACGGTATTAATTTATTTTGCTTAAAGCTTGATCAACGAGTGGACACTATATCATTATGCGTACCAATATAGACAAGAGAAAAAAAAAAAGAGCAACACCTTCGGAAAGCGTACATCCGAAACTTTCTGGTGAAGGCGGGGGCCAGACCGCTCGAGGATAGTTGTCAATCTTCCATGGGTTTCACTTTAACCTGCTTTTCGTGTCCGAAAGTCCGAAGTCGGCTTAAAGGTAACAGAGCCATTTATATCTTTAGAGGGGCGAGTAGGTGAAAGGGTGAATCTTCGGGGGGGGGGGGGGGGGGGGGGGGGGGGGAGTAAGGAGCGAAGGAAGAAAGGATGCGCGTTGTTTTCATTTCTTAGGGGATTAGTAGACTCTGCTCTAATATTATTGAATTTTTTCAAAATGTTTTAGCCTTCGTTCCAACGCTAACAACATGGATAACGGGGACGCGGGCTGCCAGGAAATGAACTTGAAATAGCCGAATGAAAAGGAGAGTGTATTCCCTGCTTTCTTGTTGAAGGGGGAAGGAATACAAAGGTTGCTGAGAGTGGGGTTCCTTCTTTTTGCTTGTAGGTGAGCCTTTAATTGAGCGCTCATGTGTCGTCATCCGTGCCTGGCTTTCTTTGAGACTACCTCAATTAAGACCGTATAAAATAAACCGGCCTTGCTGCTCATCGTGGATATCCGGACTAAAGCAGTTCCACTAAGCCTGGATAAATAATTCACTCGAGAATGACGCGTCCCAAACTTGTAACAGGTCGCATGTTTTTCGAATCAGTTCGGTTCAGTGGCGCCATCAATCAGCGCCCGGACAGCCCCGTGACGTCATTTCCCGGCGTCGGGCCGGTACGTTTTCCCACAGAAGCCGATAAAATTGCCCCCAAAACGAGCAGAACGCCCGGACCTAAACTGGACGGACAGCGCTCGGAATCCATCGATTTGCGTTCGGTTCACAAGAGACGAACATAAAAACAAGAGAAAGAGTGGCGCAAAAGGGTGGAGAGAAAGAAAGGGCGCGTGGGAGGAGACACGCGGCAGCGTGGAGAGTCGTTTACGTCGTTTCTATGGCGATTGAAAATACGCGAGGCAGCGCCACAAGTGAGTTTCTGGCCGGAAGGCGCACCAGACGGCGGCAGCAAGCTGCGAGCGCCATTCCAAGTGCACTGGAGGCGAGCGTCACGACGTCGAGACATGTTTACGCCCGACGACCTCTGCACGCGTCTCACTGAACCGACGGGGACTTGACAAACCCCGGGAGACCTCACCAGCTGGACTGCATATTCAGACGCTCTTCGACGCTGCTGGCGTCAATTGTTTGCGAGTGGAAACGTTCGTTTTCGAGAAGCGGCGACAGAAACGGCAACACCACCGAGACCCTCTACACAATTTCTCCTGGTTTGTGTTCGCGTGTTTGCAACGGTACTCTGCAATTCACGAGAAGCACCGCCCTCACACCGTCGCGGTGCGGGCTTCGTATAACCCCTGTGTGGTGCGCATTTTTTATGAGTGCAAGTAACACACGTTTTTCACACCGGGCCATGACTATTTAATCTTCATCTTCGCCACGTGACTTGGCCAGGTTTGTAACGTGCTTTTCCGCTAGAGGACCGTCGATACTGGGGGTGGTATGCTCTCGGTGCTTTTCCATTGCTTAGCGGACAGCAACATCAGCCCCCTCAAGTTTGCTGGTTCGTAATTCTGCGCACCAGACGCGACTGTGGAGAGGAGAGATCCCAGTCTGGTCGTGCCGTACTGCCGCATGGGCCGTCCAGAAGAATTATGGAAGCCAATGGAACAGGCAAGGCTGCTGCCGCGGTTGCACCTCGAATTCGGAAGGTCAACAGCACCCACTCCCGCTTTCTGGCCGAGGCCGCGCAGCGGAAGGCGCTCATGGGCACCTTCTTTGCCAACGGTGACCCTTTCTCGTCGGGCATCAAGGTGTCCATCATCCCCGGACGCGACTTCAAGACAATCGAACACCTCTACGACTACCTCTCGGAGAGGCTCCAAGTCAGCAACGGCGTCCGCATCATCTTCACCCTTGACGGAAAAAAGGTGGCGTCTCTGGATGACCTCGAAGACGGAGGATTCTACGTGGCCTCCGGTTCTAGAACTTTCACGCCTCTGGCCTACGGTCAGACCAGAGGTCGCGCGACGACGCAGCGTTCGGAAGAGGACCCGAGTCGCCTGATTCAGCCCGTAGGTAACAAGAAACCTCCCGGTGTCTTGCGCAAGGGACAGGGGAGTTCGGGCAGCCTGCCCGGCTCTGGCGGTAGGGAAGACGGCCGTGTGATAGACATCGTTGACCGACTGGACCCGGAGCACAAGAGTCGAGTGTTGCTCAACCTGAAGACTACGCAGACATTCGAGGAAGTGATCAAGGACTTGGGTGATGCGCTGAACATGAAGAGCGTCAAAAGGATGACCACTGGCCAAGGAGAGGTGGTGAGTACTACGCCTCGAGTTTATTAGTTCGTTTGGCACTCCCGTTTCTGACAGAAAACATGATTAAAAAATACATAAAAGTTATAAACACGAGTAATCTTGATCTGACTGGCACTCGACATTCGCTAGCTACTTGGGGCACTGACGACGCTAAGTTTCCGGACGGCTTCCAGGGAGTGTTTTTCTGAGCTCCCGATTTCAGCTCGGTTTTCTTTTGTTTGCTTTAACTTGGGTCGTTCTGAGTTTCTGGTCTTCAGAAGTATAGTAACTTCCAGGGTGAGAACGGCAGGGTGGAGCTTCAGTTGTCTCGCCTCTAACGCGAGCTTCCCACCTTCGACAACGCTTGGTCGCTCGTGCCCATCGAGCGCACGTGCGCAGTCAACGATCGGCGGAAGGCATGGTGCGCGTGCTGTAGGAGGCCGGGCGTTTGAGAAACACATCCTGCCGTTTTCATTTTGTCAGTGACTAGAGTTAGCGACCATCCAGACTACTGCAGCGTCATTCTCAATGCGACAAAGACCAGTGATACACTTGAAAATATGACGAAATGATAATAGCTTGATTGAATAATGTATAGAAATACGAAAAGTTCAAGTATGCGTCCCGTTCATCTTGGTATCACTTCGCAGTGACCAAGATTGCGTCAATAGCCGACAATAACGCCGAAGAACGACTTATGAAGCAAGAGGCGTAGTCAGCCAGTGATAGTCGCAGACAGCTCACAAAACGCAGGCCTCAGCACGTTTACAATTCTTGTTAAAACTTTGGTATGGGCTAGTTGGTTCATGGTAGGTATAAGGTTTAAAAGCGAAAACAGACAGGGACGATAGAAAATCTCGCCTTCTTCCTGTCGTTTGTGTCATTTTCTATCGTCCCTGATTGTTTGCGCTTTTAAACCTTATACCTACCCCAATTCTTGGTTCGTGATTCATCCTTGCTGCAATACTATTGGCTTCGCATGCTTTGCGTTTTATCATTGGTCAGTGACCATATAGTCTGTCCAAACAACTTTCAATTTTCGCGAAATTTATGAACCTATCAGCTATATAGGGAATTCCACGAAATTTTATTTAACTCTTCATATACTTAGTTTTAGCTTAAGTCCAGATGCAACCGACTCTACCAGATAATGGGCCCGATCAAGGATCATCAAAAACGCAAGTCACAAGGTTCTTTTCTGTTTATGATTTGTTCGACGACGATAGGACACGTACAGAAATACCACGAACACCATGACGGTGCGCTTTTGACGCTCTCCGATTGGTCCCATCAGCTCGTAGCTTCGGCTGCGTGTGAACTTGAGGTGAAACAGTTCAGTCATTTTGTAGTGGATAATTACGTCTCATTGTCAATTCATGTATCGCTTATCCTAACCTAACATTATAATTGAGCATGAAACAAAAAAGAAGTTTTACTACACTCTAAAAAAAGGGGTGTAGTTTTTAAACCCTTTGTTAGAGTACTGCACGGGCCGCAATTCTTAGGCCCGGCCCCACCCGGCCCGGTAGAGACACGAACCAAGCCCAACCCGAGCCCGAATTTTTTTTTTTTTTTTTTTGTATGAGCCTTTGCTGGGTCCGAGTTCGATAGATTATAAACATGAGCCCGAAAAAGTTTGCAGGCTCTTACTTAAAAACTGTCTAAGCATTAATCGCGCACTCTCCCACTATGCTGGTGGAATCCATACGTTTTCTCTTACACAGTTGAAGGCGTTTCAAATGCAAAACGTATTTTTTTCTTTTTTTTTTTAACGACACAGTAGTGCTTTTGCACTTGGCTTGCTTGTTTTTATTGAACCTCAAATATCAAGGAGCGCACTTTTTATTATCAACGATTTCGAATTTGTGGCACAGCACTGCCCAGTCACAACCTGGGCCGGCCCGGGCCGGCACGGCCCGAAAAATGTTTTCTTCAACCCCGAGCCCGGCCCGGACCCGAGAAAATTGGTGCTACCCGGCCCGAGCCCGGCCCGCGAACCGGGCCGGGTTTGGGTTTTCGGGCTCGCCCGGGCCCGTGCAGTGCTCTATTCCTGGTTACAAATACGACACCCGCCTAAACTTCAGTTGGACGTACAACGCACTGACGTTCAACCGACGATATCAACTTTCACTAGTGGCTTGATAGCCGAGTTGTTCAATTTGTTAAAATTGCTCAAGTGTAACTGACTGCAAAAAATGTAATCGGGGTTTTCTTGGCCCTACTGCCGAACTTCAGTGTTTTTCTTTCTGTATTCTTTGATGCGTATTTTAGGTGTTTAATATCTTATTTCGCACCGTCATCAAGCCTCTCGTAAAAGTTCGGACCGTCAGTGTAAAATCAGTGCGCTGTACGGCGAACTGATGTTTTGGGGTTTTGGATATGTGACAAGAGATCAGTGTGGACAAAATACTCGATAAAAGTATTTAAGTTAAGTAACTAAATACCTGCTTCATAAGGTATTTAAAATACTACTCAGGTTGCTTTCACTGTAAAGTGTCTTGAGTAGAATGCAAGTACTTATAAATGTAGTTCAGTTACTTTTGAAGATACTTCCGCATTGCGTAATTTGTATCGACGTCTGTGACAAACACAATTTTACAGTACCACAAATCTGGTATAGCAGAATTGTTTGTTAACACGCAACATAACAAAACGAGGAGAAAAAAACACATCGTAAGGTGTGTTTTTGTAGTCCAACTATAAGGAGCGGAATATCACTAATACATGTTACAAAACATTTCTGGGACAAAAAATAAAACAAAAAGAGGTTACTTCAGCTATTGTGACCACGCTGAATATCACATCCAGCGGCGCACCTTAGACGCATTGTTTAACTACAATATATATCCCCTATATGGGGAGTTCACTATAAACCAACCTGGGATAGTCTCACCTTCTTCAAGTAAGCTGCGTTCAGAAAGGCAATGAACGTTAGAGGACACTTTTTGGCATTTTGAGACGTCACCCTGCTCGAAGTCAGTTTCCTGTCCTGTTCACTGCTTATCAATGTTCGACTACAAACAGCGTTCGCCAGAGCAATAAGTACCGAACTAACGACGAAAAAAAAAAAAATAAAATAAATATCAACGTTTTGCCGTAGCGGAGTTAAATATGCAACAAGCAAGAACAAAAAGGGGGGGGGGGGGGTATTTTTGTGTGTATTTGTCTTTTTTTTCTATTTTTCTTACACTGAATTTTGCATTGTTGTCGTGGGTTGTTCCCCATTCTGCGTTGCGTCTCAGTGTGGCAATGTTAACTTCCTTAAAATCACCTCTTTTTGTTTGAGGAATTTTTTCGGGCAGGCTGTAGGAAACAAAAGGTGCCTCTGGGAAGGCGAAGAAAAAACTTTTATTGTACGAACTTTGGGAATATGAGTCACAATGGCACAGAAGTGATGTTTTCGCGAGCTCATTCTGTCACACGCCCACGCCACTTCATACCGAAAAACTGGAAAAATGGCGGAATGTCAAAAATGTATTTGAGATCATGAGTACAAGAGAGTAAGAAGTGTAATTAAAATACAGTAGCTCATACTCTCGATTGAAAGTATTTGCGAGATACCAAGGTACTTCAAAAAGTATTTGAAATACAGTATTTTGAGTAGAGTATTTGAGATAGGCACAAGTCTGCAAGAGATGTAAGGGCTATACCATTTTTTTAGAGTGTAGGCCGTTACTCTCTATTGAGAGCCAGGCCGAAATTAAACTCTGCATTCTTGCGTTTCTCAGGTACAACAAGAGTCAATTCGAGTGTGTTCCGTGCTATCGCTATTTGCAACTCCAACTCCCTATAGAGGGCGGGGCGGTAGTTTCAAGACGGCGGAAGAGACGGGGATCGATTCTGCTGGATTTCCCCCGCGCCTGGTCGCTGACGTTGGCCAGTGAGTTAAAATAAATTAATTTGTTTACAAATGCGAAGAGGTCAGGGCACGATCGTATTACAGGCGACGGAGATGCCGATGCGCGTTAGGAAAACGAGCGTACTCGTATTGAAAAGTTGCGAAAACCCCGATTTGCGAAGCTTTCTGGAGGGCGAGCGCGTTTGTTGCACCGGTCGCGTTACTGTTTGTGGCAAAATATTTTTAAGGGTGATAAAGATATCGTGCTGCTTGCGCTCTGTCAGGCCACTAGGGCTCTAAGAAGTGAGCCGCGCACGGCGACGATAGAGCCCTGGAATAGCAGCATTCACAGTAGTGATGTCGTCGAGTCACAGGCTCAGAAGTCGTTGCTTGTTGTCGCATCTTTTGTGTTTTGCAATGTGTGATCAAACTGCATTATGTTTATTGATAGGAAACTAAAACTCTTCATTTTCCTTCAGTTTGGAAAGGGATGGCAGAAAAAAGAGCAACTAAGGTGTTGCTCGACAATCCTCGGCAGCATCAGAAAAAGCAAGAAATAAAATAAAACTTTGCAGTCAGCAAAAACCTCAAGATACAAAAAAAAAAAAAAATTATGCGACCAATTCACCCCGTAAGTGATGACGTCACAACATGGCGCTCATCTCCAAACAAACCGTTACTAGGGCCGTTGTTATGGACAAATGCATCGGGGCTTGACTTGAGGTTGTAGATTGTCTGATAAAAGAGTAAATATTTTTTTTTGTAGGCATGGTATCTTCTCAATATCAATTCATTCAGGCTTTTTGTATCGTCTCAGTACCCTAAAGCGACGAGAAAAGCCCGTAATAATGTTTAACATCCGGTTTTGCCTTGCTAGCAGAGGACACGATGACTTTGCTGGACCAGTGGTTCTTTCCGAGGGAAAACGTCATTGCGTTCAATAAGGTTGGCGACGATCGACTGTTCTCTGGGTCAACTTTCCGCGGGATTTTGGGAAAGAAAAGGGCCCGTACACAGCTTTGATCAACTATCGAGGTGTGCGAGCGCGCGAACGCCTTCGCGTGGAGCTCGCGTCAGCAATATTTGAGGTAAAAACACTGCGAAGCAGAATCAGGTATGACGACAACGTGAAGTGTATCAAGGTCGAAGTGCAGGCCAGTACATGTGTAAGGGTTTTGTGACA